TATCGAACACCTCACCAGTGGAAGATGAGAATCAAGATTATTTATACTTAAACATTTGACAATTTACTAATTGCAAATTGTTATAAAAATATTATTAAAGTATAAAAATAAAAATAAAATATTAAAGTATAAAAAAAATACAATCTAATATTTATTGCACAAGTAACAAATTTCGAAGCGGATGGGAAATTGAACTCGTTTAAATAAAGCGGTAGTTCAGTAGTTAAGAGCATTGCAACCGGAAAAGTGTAGGCGCGGGTTCCAATCCCATCCGTTTCGAAATTGTTCATACCAATAATTTTTTAAATATAAATTTTATATTTTAATAATACTTCAATGTATATTTTATTCTGTAATTATTATAAATTGATGATAATGGAATGGTAACCCCGCTTGCGCTAACGGTATACATTGACGGTCCACCAGTGAGGGGTGATAGGTGGGAATGAAAAGGCAGGTCAGTTAGTCCATCGTGATGAATACACCAGGAAATCAGCACGATGGTTTCTAGAGGGGAACACATGGAGGTCGACCTTATAGGGTATATTGTTAGCAATGGGACGAGTAGTCCGCAATACTAACAATTCTTTCCCCCCCCAATTACGAGGTTAAACCTAGATAAATTCGTATGAAAATCTGAATTTGCAGAATTGTCCGCTAGAGGCGCAGTTAAATTTTCAATATCGTTTTATGGATGTAAAGGTGAACACGGTAATAAGGTAAATCAGTTTTAATACATTGTGACTTCAATATTAACAATTTTGTTCAGTTTCACACATGGGCTACTGCGAGAATGCTGATTATTGATTAAAAACTGGCTTTATTAATAACTAGCCGTTTCCCACGGCGTTGCCCGCTTCAAACAAATTAGTTCCCGTATATTATTCCCATTGGAACTCTTCATGAATCCAGTCTTATATTGTATTATATACGTAAATGATAATTACGTATCTAATACCTTCATAAAGTTTCAGCCAATACAACTGAAAGTTATTTTATAGCATTTTATATGTTCTTCTTCTTCTGATTCTTTAGATGGATATAACTTATTATTTACGAACCGATTCAATAAGAACAAACACTAAACGTTAAGTGGAGTAAACCGCAACGCATTAGTGAAAACCACGTTCAAATCGGTTAAGCTCAGCTGTTTATGAGATTAGCATGTACACACATACAGACTGGCAAACGTACAGACAAACAAATAAACAGACAAAAATTCTAAAAATCATTGTTTTGGGTTCTATTGCGTTTATAAAACCGCCCTGTAATATTTTTTCTTATATATATATTTTTTTTTATACAACTTAGAATGACAAACAAGCTGACGGTCGACCTGATGGAAAGTGGTAACAGTCGCCTATAGACATGAGCAGTGCCATGGACATAACAGAGTATACTGTTTCGCCCATGATACCCCCCATGCGTTGCCATTCCTGAGGACTCACTTGTTATTCCTCTGTACCCTGTAAATTCACGCCATATCCCACCCTTCAAACCGAAACACAGCCATGCAAACACAGCTGCTTCACGGTTGAAACACGATAGGGACAGAGGTACCCAAGCAATCGACTTTTGTACAAAGTCTCCCTCTGTTAAAACGTATCTTCCACGTACAAACAGCGACCAGTTACGACTTTATTATACATATGTATTGATAGATATAATATTTATTATTGATCGACAATTTTAATGTAACATTTATCTATCGATAAAAATGTATTCATCAAAGTCGGCTCAGTATTGGCGGAAGATATTGTGCAACATACAAACACAAAAAAACTCTATTAACTTCTATGTTAATATTTTCTATTAATTTTTAATTTTTATGCGACTTAGAATGGCAAACTAGCTGACGGCTCACCTAATGTGGTGGTGGAAAGTGGTAACTGTCGCCTATAGGCATGAGCAGTACCATGCACAGAATATACTGTTTCGCCCATGAAATTCCCCATGCGTTGTCAATTCTGAGGACTCGGGGACTAACTGAAAGGGATTACCTAGTTAATGTTAGTGCAAAGCGATTTAGGAACTAAAATTATTTAAATAAACTAGACTAATTTAATTAGTCCTATATATATTAGTTCTAGATCGCAAATGTGCTATTTGACAATATAGACATAAATATTTGTATACCTAAGCATTGTATAAATTAGTCAGTATATTGTAAGTGTGTAGGGAAAAAATAAACACTTACCTACATTCAAAATCGACGCACTAAAAGTTGCGGGCAAAAGCTAGCTAAAAATAAAAGTTGTTCATTTTGACACATATAATTATAACCATTATTACACTAACTACACTATGTTTAACTACTTAAAGTTTTGTTAAACACTGTTTAGCTAAACAATGTTTTAAATATTGTTTGTAGTGAGAACGAATGTGTTTGCGGAACATCTCGTTAATCAGATTCGATATAAAGTAAGACCAACAAAGTTGTTACTTAATCAATATTAATCATGTTACGACTGCTGCTTTTTTGGGGAGCAACGTTTACTATGGGTCTTATTGAAATGTTTTCTTCCGTAAGTTTCCAATCTGCTAGTCATAAGATTTTGCGCGGAAAAAGTTAAGAGTCACACAGAGTAGGCAGAGAAAAATTAATAGGTACTGAAGGTCTTTATTCTTACCATTGGCGTATTTGAATTTAGTTTTCACGGGGTAAGAGGGGCGGCGGGCGGTTTTGTAGACAAATGCTATATGTATACTCAGATATTTTTTTTTATAAGTTCCACTCGCATCCTAGGATGGGCACCAGAAGATTTCTCTCTCTAAAAAACGTCTACGATCCTTACTTACATCTGTAGGTTCATCCACTTTCATGACTCGTGACATGCATACACACTGGCTTTATAAACTATAGACTTTACCATTAAGGCGCTTCATCCCATCGAACGCCATTTTTAAAACGTTACTCTCAGATTAGGTTAATAGTAAAAATCTGACAAAAATATATAATAAAATTAGATTCTTAAACTACAATCTGCGCGTTTAAAATTAATTAATTTGATTTAGTTGCACTGACAAGAGGAAACTCTTAAATGAAAAAAAGAAGAAATTACATAAATATAATAAAAAAAAACCTAAAAATTAATCCTTCCTAAAAATTAATTATTTTACACAGAACCAGTTGATCAAAAGTTAAAACTTGAATTTGTATTAATTACGTATCAGAGAATTGATAAGGATTCCCAAGTGGGTTGGGCACGGCAGTCGGCTTCTGGCATTCAGACGAAAATCCTGTATCGCAAGATGTGAAAAATTCTGCGTGATAATGTCGTTGATTTTCTTTCAGAATGCTCAGATTATTAGTGTAGACTATAGTGTAAAATTTTAGTAAATAAGCTTGTCGTGTGGTTTACGTATCGCCTATTTTATGTTTAGCCTATTTCGACATTTGATAGGTTTTACAAATATTTGTATTATATTTGTGATTTATTTGTAAACATATCGTTGCAACTAATCATTGTAGTTATTAGTTCAAATTCTGTTTTCTTTATTGTACACAAATATAGTGAGAAAATATTTAATTTTTAAAATTACTAGTTTATTTTTAATAAGAAATTTCTTCTGGTAAAATTTGTCCCAGAAAAGAAATTATCGTTTCAAAATAAAAATATAATTTATTAAGTTTATGGATATACAATATTGTCATTTAACAATGTCTGTATGTAGGTGATATTAAAGAAATATTACCGATGCTAAAACAATAATTTTTAGAAATATTGTTATTTGAATTTATTGTTGTTTGAAGTCCGCCGAGAAAAGAAAAAAAAAGCAACCGCTTTCAAATTGGATTTAAACAATTAACTTAGAAAATGTATGTATTTACCCTTAATATGCCATATAGAAGTGGTTTATTCCATAGTGTTTTTTACTTCTGAACTGTAGAGTAAATAAATAAAATTTCGACGTGTAGACGTACGAAATAGCGTCCTTAAAGCTAATTATATATAGATAGGTGTGTAAATTTATAAAAAAATATTACGTTTAAAGATATTAACATAAAAATAACATTATTTTTATCTTAATCGAGTCGGGTAATGTCCCGGGATCTAGGTGGTTCGTTAAATATTTTGAGTTTCCGACTAATTCTTTAACAATATAAAATACCGTTAACAAATTTAATTAATCCAGATAGTTTGGAGAACAAGGATCATTAATGATGGGTAATAGTGTTAGGAACTCTCAAAAAAGGCTCATTGTTAGGAACGTACCCCGTTAGGTCGAACTGTACTACTTTTCGTTTACGTTCACTACAATAATAAACTTTTGAGCAATTTTGATTGAATAAATATTTGTACAATTAAGTACTCTTTGTCATCATTATATTCTTACCGGACAGCGTGAAGAAAAAATAAAGCTTCGCATATATGGCCTAGGCTCAATTAGGAATGAAACACCTTAAATAACCGTGGCTTTGTTGATATAAAAAATAAATTTTACTAGTATTTTTAGGAAACCTCTCTTAGTGCTTCTCTATATTACGATTATTAAATATGAAATCTTTTATTTATAGAATCGATAAAATAAATGACAATGATATTATTGCTGATGTCCACAATCTGTCTGTTTATCAGTCATGTATCTGGGTACTTGTGTTTTGCTTAAGTTTTAGGCCTATGTTGCTAACTAATTGTTAAACTAAAATTCAAATGTTGATAAATATGTATAAATTAAAAAAAATAGTTTTTTTCTTTGAAGAATACCTAAAACCAAACTAATATCGAAACATAACAATAAAACACACTCAATCTAAGTAGCTCAAATTTTTATTATGCGCAACGAATATCGTATGAGTACCAATAAAAAAAAAATGGATCGCGTGGGCTCATAGGTACCTTAAATAAATAACTCTAACAGGGAAGTACAATTCTTTATCTATGGTTCGCGCCCTTGGCATTTAGGGGTAAGTACCGTAATGTAAAATAAAATAGGTTGACATATTAGTCTATGGCAAGAGGGTGCCGTAGTTCGCATGCGCGAGTTCCGAGGCGAGCTTGGGCGTGCGACAACCGAGCATAAAACGCGGCAGACGCTTGCGTGCAGCAACCATTGATCCACCGGTGTCCGCGATACCGCTACACCAAGTCGGTCGCGGACGCTGCGGCGACCACCGACTCTCACCATGCAACCCCCACCTAGAAAGGTGAGTGCACCAACACACCACGTTCACTGCAACTACATGACGATACTCAACTCCTCGTCCGTGCTTTACATTACCATTACCATACCAAGCATCAACTTTGTGACACCCAATGTGCAAAACGTGATGGCCAGTGAATGAATTCCGATGCGGACCATTATGTTATTAGACGGTTGCGTAGCCCCACGCCATGAAATTATGTAACTTAAATATTTTGTGCCGAAATACACCACCCTCGTGCTAGGTTCGGGGCTGCCAAAAGCTGAAATTGAGTTAATTGATTGGTACCTATATTCAGCTTACAGGCAGTGCGTGCCCCAATTTATGTTGATTTTTTTAGACAAAAAAAAACAGTTTTATTTATCGCTCCGTGAATAAAAATCTTAAGATAGTTAAATCAATAACATTGATACGCACCTATTATTAAACGTGTTAATAAAAGATGTGTTGCGTGCTTTGTATAAACAGAATTCATATTGTTTAAGCTACAATTAATTTTGATGTTTTCAAATATATAATTATAATTTATTTTACAACAATAATTTAGACTAAAGATTTACTGTTGTTATAGACTACTAATGAAAGATACATAGAAGGTTGGCACTAGAGACATACAAGTTTCGTATCCACATCTCCTCTAAGTTAGCGTTGTAAATACAATTAAAAAAAATTATATATACTTATTTGTAATAGATACCATTCGTGTACCACATGACCGATTTCATGCCAGAATGTGGAGCAATGCCCTATATTTATTATGAACATAAATGTCATTTGTTTATGCCTTAGAGAGGCATTATAGAAGTAATTCTTACTAAAAATATAAATGTGAAAATGAGTGTTTGTTTTGTACCTCTTGGCGCCTTAACGGTTAAGTCAATTGTCATGAAATTTGGCATACACGTATTATATGTGCTGGAAAAGAATATACACCTTTATTTTTTTAATCTTAATAAATTAATATATTCTGGTCTGCGAACGAAGTCGCGGGTAAAAGAGTGTAAACTGTAAACTGTAGTTTTTGGTGGTAATACTATTATTATATATAATAATATGATGTTATCTATTTTTTTATGTAAAATTTTTATAAAATAGATAACAGTAAATTTAAGATTTTGGATAAAACACGTACCTGCATTAATGAATGAATGAGTATACTTTATTTGCATTATACAATACAGGAAATAAGCACGACAATTAATAAATGTAACGATACAGTTGTATAAGTACAGTGAGGCGATCTTATTGCTGTAAACAATCTTTTCAAGACAACAATGTATTAAATGAATTTTACGTAAAATTATATTACTCATATTTGTTTATAGAGAGTTTAATTAGTGAATACTAACAAAACGAACGCCCGAATAATATGTTAACCCACTTTCTAAAACCGTAAAGTTCATTGTTATTGTTCTTCTTGCCAAGAACAACATTTCTTGTAGGTATTTTGAAGAACCTTTCCATTGAGCACCTATGGCTTCAGGAAACTGGTAGTAATTTTGCAATATTTGCTGTGCGTTGATTGAGCATGACAGATTGTTTTTATTTCACACTAGTCGAAATAGTTCATGGGCCAGGATAAAAATTTGCCTACACCCTTTTCCATCCCTTATAGAGCGCACTAAGTTTTACACTAAGTTTCATAACAATTGATTAAGGCGTTAAGAGGCATCAGACAAACGAACTCACTTTCATATGTTTTGTAAAATTATACTGAGATAAAAATTGGTACATCAATGTCACAGAAATTATTTATATATATATATATATATTATATAAAATTTTACCTGGCGACAACTCGACTCACGGAGTTCTGATCCACGTCTCTCAATTAACTGGGTCAAATGAATTTCTTATCTAAATTTCTAAACACAGTTGGCAAATTATTCAAATTCATGTTCGGAACTTAACGTAACGTTTCGACGTGGATCGCACCTCGTCATGGCGCGGCAAGACTGAAGCGACTGGCTTCCTTTACTGAAAACTCGCGCACATCCGACCACCCTCATCCTATATCACCACTAGGTGTAAACTGCGGCTTCAACTACGTCAATTGCTATGGATATTTACATGCCAGAATTTATTTGTATAATGTACAAGGGATTCTAAACCCTTTACAAAATAAGTAATATTATTTTGTAAAATATTGAAGACAAATGCTGAAGCGCACCTTTGCTTTTTTTATGGGTGCTAATGGAATGGTAATCCCATTCACGCTATCGGTATACACCAGCGGAACACCAGTAAAGGATGATAGATGAGGATGAAGCAAATCAGTTAGCCCATCGTGGCGAATTCAACAAGAATTGTTTACGATGGTTTCCAGGGGGAACCGCGTGGAGGTTGACCTAATGGGGCATATTGCTAACAATACGGTTGTCAGACTCCAATGCTAACAATTCCTTTCCCCCCTGTGCAACTTTGCCGTCCCTATGATGTTGAGAGACTACAATTTAATGGTCGTATAATAGACGTAGCCACGACGTAATACTCTAGGCCATTAGTGTTAGCATTCCAACACTATATGGCCGACAATTCTTCGATTTTAAAGCTGCCTCGGCGTTAAGGGTTGTCTGTGGCACCTATTCAATATGTGTTTAAGAGATAGCAGACCATTATTGTCCCATTATTGTTGTTATTGTTGACCGTTATTGTAATATTATTTATGGATTTGTTATTTATCGTAAGAAGTTTAGCGAAGCCGATGAACTGGGGTCGACCCTGCATATATTTATATGTACATTTATGTATATGTATGTGTGTATGTATATATATTTAGCATATATATATATATATATATATATATATATATATATATATATATATATATATATATATATATATATATATATATATATATATATATATATATATATATATACAACTTAGAATGGCAAATAAACTGACGGCCCACCTGATGGAAAGTGGTAACCATCACCTATAGATGTGAGCAGTGCCATGTACATAACAGTATACTACTGTTTCGCCCATGATACCCCCCATTCGTTGCCATTCCTGAGGACTCGGGTGTTATTTCTCTATACGCTGTAAATTCAATGTCATATCCCACCCTTCAAACCGAAACACAGCCTTGCAAACACAACTGCATGCAACAGAGGTGCCCAAATAAACGACTTTGTATGGCCCATCTAGATGATCACAAATTTTACATCAATACAATTAATTCAATTGTCCCATGAGTATAAATGGTAATAAATAATAGTATTGAAGTCTTACTGCTAAATATAAAGTGTTATTATTCCACTATTCAATTATCCCGAAGGAACATATTCATGGATCAAAATAAAATGTAGCTTACATCCTTCGTCAAATACTATATGTATGCCAAATTTTTTGACGATTGGTTGAACTGTTTAAGCGCTAAGAAGTAACAAACAAACTCACTTTCACATTAAAAATATCATTAATAAGGATTATTGTCTACATTCAGCATGTCAATATTCAATGTTTTAACACAGCCATTTATATAGACAATACACACCTACCTACATATAATATTGTGTATTATATTTTTAACCCTTTGTATATAAAATGTTAAATATATCTTATTAGAAAAGAGCGGAACTCATCTGTATTTTCATTTTATAATTAACGAATTTTTTAAATCTCTGTTTTAATAATGCCTAAATCTCTAATCTACCTAACTTTAAATATCAATTTGGAATGTTATTTACAAATTTACGCCTCCCGTATTAAATTTCTGTACTAATTTAATTTCAAAGTTCTCGTCTAGATGATAAACAATATTTCTTTACTTTTTATTAAACCGAACTACTATATATATATATATATACATATATATATATACATATATATACAACCTTTGGGTAGAGAAAAAAACAATATAAAATACATAATATACATTTCGATTTAAATGATTATAACTATTAACGCGACATTATTAACAAAACCAAATAATCTGAAAGGGGGCGATCATACGCTCGACTTTTTATCACATTTTAAATTCAATTCCAAAAAATGTTGTATTCAATTCCATTAATATTTCATTATTAGGCATCGGTCTCGGTCAGTTCTTTTTTTGCTATACGGTTTCATTTTACGTTTTCTTTCTCTTAAGTTTTTGTATTGTGCCTTGTGCCCTTAGATCAGTATTTCCCAACCTTTTTTGTATCATGCCCCACTTGAACATTTCTAAAATTTTTATGCCTCCATACATAATTTTTCTCGACAAAATTTACTCGATGATTCTAATCGCCCAGTTGATATTTTGGTAATGTCAAACGAAATTATACCTAATAACTATTTACAGCATTTTTATTTTTATTTATTTTTTTTGTTAAATTTGACACCGATATCTACTCGTAGCATTGCATTTAAATGGCCCGGAGCAAGAGGGTTAAAATTCTTCGAGTCCATTTTTTAATTGCCCCCCATAACTACCAAATTGCCCCCCTAAAGGGCGTGGGCCCCACATTTTGTGACATTCTAGTTGTAGCCATACTTAGTCTTAGTCGAATGTGACGTGTTCAAAATATGCTCTGAAAAATGTAAGCGAGTCGAGTGTTACTTATTATTTCGATCCCACTGTTACCGCCGACAAAGCTGTTTTGACTTTCCTATTTAATATTTTACCTCTGTGAATATATTATTTTTTTATACATCTTCAGAAACGAGAAGGTTCGCAAGTCGTCTCTATTTTTTTTTATATTCTTTTATTTTTCTTCCATTCCATTTTCATTCCATTACACATTCATTTTCCTCCTTCTCGATCTTGTCCCTATTTATAACGTTGTCCTTTTGTGGATAATATTTTAATTAATAAAAAGTGGTCAGGTAGATATTAAATTGCTCCTTTTATCGATAAATAATTGGACGGATTAACGTAATCAGATCTGCCATCGGTATTCGCACGAAGAAACGTGAAACTCAATTTCATATTTTAATCAAACGCGCTATTTATGGAGATTTGGGTCGAGTCGTCAACAAAGCATTATATAGGTACTTTAAGAAGTTAATCATCA